GTAGTTGTGCTCCACAGTTGTAGCATCTTAGCACAGTGGTCTTTTAAAACTGCAAACCCGAGTGGCCTGTTTGTCCTTGCCAGCATCGCCCAGGCAGCCTTGCAATGGATGCATGTGCTGGACAAAAAGAGGGGAAACGCATAGGGAGAAAAGATCAGCTCTGGACCTTTTTGAGGTGATGGTGGACAGAACAAACTTGGTAGCCGAGCTCACTTAAACGGGTGGACAAATAAGAGAGGTGATTATGTAGAGGAGAGGGAGGCTGAGCTGTTGAGCTGTTCTGTGCAAAGAAACATTATTTTGGTTTGATTCAAATTGCTGATTTTCCAGCTTAAGATCTTCTTTTTTTAACCCGAGAAATCTGTTTTCAAACTAGCCCTGCATTTTGCATATGAAGGAAATGTGAAAGGCGAGAGTATGTGAAAAGCTTGCTGGTAGCAGTTTTGCAGGAGGCGGCAAAGCAAGAACGTTTCTGTAGAGCAGCAGCAAAGATTGGGAGGGAGAGGCACAGTGAAATCATACAGTTCCAAGTGGAGAACCAGATTTCCTAAGGAGGCTTTTTAGTACCTGGTCAACAGGTTCCCTAATTTCCTTTTTTTGCTTTCTATTTGTACGTAGTCATTAAAAATAATAATAACCACACCCCACACCCCCCCCCACAATTTTTTGCATGTCAAAGTTTTGCAAATTGCTTCCAGGAGCTTCTCTTAAAATACATTTAGATTTAGTACAGTTAATCACTTTTCCTACAGAAATAAACCCAACACCAATGTAGTCAATACTAATACAAAGAACATGTAAGCTGTGACTGAAGAATTAGAGAGTAAATTATTATTATTTTGGAGATGTCTGACTTTTTCATAATACATAGTTGTGTACTGAAAAGCATAATGTGTTTTAAAAGACATTACATGTTGGCTTTGAATAGGACAGGGAAAAAACTAGAAGATTGTGTGCTGTTGACTTGCACGTTGCCTTTAATTTGAATATATTTGTTCTGGACTTACAGGATTAAAAAAAAATAATGTTATGTCTTCATAGTTTATGGGCTTTTAAAATATGTTTTGAAAACCGGTGCAGAGCCACTAGATTGTGGATCTAGGTGGTTCTGTCGTTTCTGTTTGATGTGCTCCGTGACTTAAATGGAGGTACAGTGGGTGAAAAATCATTTTGCATGTTTTTGCTGGTCGGCAGATGCAGAGCATATTTTGTCAGGCTTATTTAAATATTGAGAAATAAAAGTCTTCAAGATTTTACAACCTGGCTGCCTTTAACAGGAATGGTTGGAGCCCTTGTCTTGCGCAAAGCGTATGTTTCACTGCAGAACAAAGGGTTGTCTTGTGGCATATTTGGCAATAATTATGGCTTAGAGGAGTGTGTGCTCGTACGAGTAGTACAAATTATTGATACCGGTTACCGATTCCAGTTGACACCTTCAGCGGCTCTTCCCAGGGCTGAGCTTGCTGCTACGAAATCTCTTCACTTAAAAAAACCCCAAAAAAACACCCCCACCAAAAAATCCTCGTACGAGAGATTCCCTTCTGTTCCCCGTTTCCTACCTGGCTTGCTTTGCACTCCGTGTTGGTTGTTGACTGGGAAAAGACTTCCCCCGGATAAACTTTTGCTGGCTGTTAGTTTTTCGGTCGCCTCGCCGGGCTGTCTGGTCGCCCCGGCTGCAAGTGGCGGCTGCTGACGACTAGGGGGAGCTCGTAGCCCGTCTCATGGCCCGGCCGGCTCCGGCGCCGCTGAGCAGGATGCTCTGCCCCGGGAAACAACAGCCCCGGCTCCGGCAGCTTCACCTCCCCGCGAAACGGTAAAGTTCTAGTATTGATTTTCACGCCAGGATCTGTGTAGCGCTGGCCGAGAGAGGTTGCGAGAGAGGCAAAGCTGTTTCGTGGCTAAATCGCGCCTGATTAATTGACTCGGGCGGACAGGAGTTTTTAATTAAAATTAGTTTTCAACAGTGCCTTTTATTGTCAACATGCGGTGTTTGAATTCTCAATTTGTTGCTGGCAGACAGCGATCGGGGTAATGATACCTGCACATGAGCGAGTCTCTGTGCGGGGAAGGGAGGGGGGAAGGAAAACCCGTGGAGATCCGTTTGTTCCAGCGGACGTAACAACACAGAGCGAGGAAGCTGGAGTTCTAGGAGAAGGTGTGTACAGCAATAAAGCAGACATACGTGTACATAATTTGGCATTGATTACATGTCAGAAAGCCACACGTACCCCTGCCAAGAGGATTAGATATTAGATAGTTTACTGTACTTTGATCCTCTGGTCCTTTTGGCAAAAAAAAAATAATCTACAGTTCTTGCAAATGAAAATAAGCACTTTTATTTCTCTGGGTAAAAAAAAAATACCACCACAAAATTGCATCTCTCATGCAGAAGTTGCTGCTGAGCAGCTCATAGGCTACTCTGCCAGGCTTGTGCTGTTCTCTGCGGCAGTCAGCTTGTGCATCGTGGACATACTTTAGCGGGACGCTTTCTTTTCCAAACATTATAATTTTGTGGCATGCACACGGGAAGCTTTGATCAGTGGATGTTTATTTCACCCAACCTGATAAATTAATCAAGTTTTGGTATTGTTAACACAGCACAAATGTCTTATTTTTAGGGCACAATATCTAGATGGAGGTTATCCCGTTGCAGGAAAGCACGCTTTATTCTAACCTGAAAGAGAAGTAAATTAGGTCAGACAAAAGATCAGGGCTGTCATCAGCTGTACAAAAACCCTTCACTCTTGGGCAGAGAGGGCCAGCAATTTATCTGATGATTTCTCTACTTCATTTAATGTTTGAATTGAGCTAGTTGGAAGCATATAGACAGCAGCCAGCTCGTTTGACAGACCGGTAAGCTGAAGAGCACAGAGCCCAGGCCACTGCTGATGCTAGTGTTCCCCAGCCATGGGGAAAACCTTCCCCTTTTCCCTCTTGAAGCCTGAAGCTTCACCAGCTGTGGCTTTCCTTCCAATTCCACAACTGCTAACTTTCACCAAGAGAAACAACAGTCCCCCTCTCCTCCCCGTCACCTCTGCCCACCCAGCGCATGCACACCCACGCTCCTCTTCCTCCCGCTCCTTCCTCTGCCTCCCACCCATCCCACTTCACCAGGTTGAAGCCCTGTGCTAAAGTCTCCCTGCAGAGACCTGCTACCCCAAAGTGGCTCTTTGCCTCCTTGCTGGAGCATTTCCTTCGTTTCAGTTGCGTTTCGGTTTCTCCAGGGTTGCACTGCAGCGTTGGTTGAATTTGGTCACCCCTCGGTAGCCTCCAGAGAAAGCGCTCGGAAAAATAAACAGGGACTGAATGTTAAAGTTAGCGATACCGTAAAAACATTTGGTGAAGCACCAGCACTGGCTGTAGACAGATTTATATATATATATATATTTTCTAACAAGGGAGAGAAAAGGCATCAATAACTGTGTGCATTGATAAATGCATGATTCATTCAGCTGCTCCTACTACAGCACCTTCCTCTTTCTTGTTTATTTACTTTTTTAAAATGTATCTGGGCAGGCTGCACACCGTTCCTCAGCACCCACGGTTACAACCTCAGAGGCAGTTGCATGTTCAGCTCCTGAACATCAGTTAAAATTTGCTTGCTGTCTGCTCTCCCAAAGAACAGTTGCTTGCTCTGTACTGTATACCCTTGCTGGAGCTTTAAGTAGCAGCTTCTTTTTTTTTTCCTATTTATCTTTTTAAAATTTGTTTTATTTTATTTTTTCCAAAGGATGTATAAAAAATGTCTAAAGCAGGCTATCTGAAAACAAATTAAAAAAGAGGGACACACTTCATGCGTTGCAGGCACGCGCCAGTAGAAGGAGGTTAGAAGAATATCATCATTTTACTGGCAAAAGTGACACCAGATCAGGGATTTGATTAATGTTGCAGCATTCACAGGGACTTAGTTCTGTGTTTTTGACATATGCAAGTCTTTTGTGTAGTTGCCTCAGTGCAAGAAATTCCCTTTTTTTTTTTTTCCTGGAGCAGCTGATAATTTGTGTGTGTGCTGGATATGCCCAAGGTACTTTCCGAAGACTAAGCACTAGACAGCACAGTATAAAAAAAGGAATCTAAAGTTAAGGGAGAGGAAAAAAACACACTGGTTTACTTAACTTTTTTATGACCCCTTTTACTAAGCCACTGGAAGAAGCCATAAATTCGCTGAATGTTATAATGAATATGCTTCAATGAAAGTAAAAAAAAGAAAAAGCTTAAGAAAATTGTATATGAGCAACAGCGTGCCATGCACAATTGAGAAACACAGTCTCTTTTCATACTGGCATTTAAGAAAAGAACAGAGCTGTTTTGTGTTTAATACATGTTCAAAACTAATTACTTAATTTTGATCATGCATTTTAAATCCTTGGTTAAGAATCTATGCTTCCAATATCCTTTTCTACACCAGTTAAAAGCCTGTACCCAAATACTGCTCCTTTTCGTTTTGTGGCACCGAGTGCTCCTTTCTCTCCTTGGTTGTCATTTAGTTTTAAATAAAACAAATGTATTCACTGGGGAACAAAGAATGCTTTTATATCACATCATCACATCCCATTTTATCTGTGGAGATTTACAGTTTCTGCAGTCTATAGAACAGCCTATGCATTTTCTGCTCTCAGAAGCAGTAAATATGTTTTTATGAATGTATAGTTTACTTAAGAGGAGATACGCCACTCCCTTCTTTAACACTGTACATAGTTTCTGATGAAATAACATCTGACAAGTGTCGGAGATTCGTGCAGATTCTTGGCTATTCTTGGCTTTTGTTCCGTTTGGGTCCGGCGTGCTTACTGTGTCTTTCTCCTCCTTTTCCCTCAACCTGTCGTGTTGCCTGGCTCTTTGTGGCAGTGCTTGGGCTCGCTCCATCTCAGGTGTGTACAGAGGGTTAAACTCCCCTTTGAGAGATTCGGGCTACTTCTGCAAAAGGTGTCGGATGTAGTTGCAGGAGAGTCCTATCTCTCGGAGGTGTATGAGGGGATCGCTAAGGCGGTGGAGCAGAAATGGTGATTTTCCCCCACCCTCCCCACACCGCTGCCTCCCCGGGATCCCCTCGGTCCCGGTCCCCTCGTTGTCGGTACCCAGCAGGGGCTGCTTGGCGGGATCCATCCCTCCGGCTGCGGCCAGGTGTCTGTGGACTCCATCCTGCCTCAGCCACCACCCGTTGCGTTGTGCTGCCATCCCGAGCTGGCGGGCAGTGGTGGGGGACAGGACGGCGCAGCGGCGGGGCCAGGCACGGCGGAGGTTCGCCGCTGCTCCGGCCGCCTTTGTGCACTTTTGTGCACAAGCCTGAGAGCCACTCGGAAAGTGAGGGAAGCAGAGAGCCCTATGTTTCTGGGGCTTGCCCGTCAAGTTGCTTGTTCTGATTGACTCAGATTCAGACTTTTACTTAAAAAAATGTAAAATGCTCTGAACAATTGTTTTTCAGTCCTGAGGAAAAATTAAAAATTGATGGCAGATAAGCAGCACCTAGTACCGCTGAGCATGCTGCTGATGCAATATGTAGGCATAAGCTCAACTCTGCACCTTGCAGCTGCAGGGAGCTGCGGGGAGGCTCTGGAAACAGGTTATTGATAAACTTCGATGGCAAAGAGTCGTGTCGCCTGCTTTGAGCAGCGTTAGCCTTTGTGCAGCGAGGATCCTGACACCGATCTCAGTGATAACCCAGCTAGAGAGCGTGTGATCCGAGCTATTTCCGTTAAAGATGTTGATGTTACAGTAAATGTGACATGTGGGTGTTGACTAAAGGGACATCGTTTTCAGACGATGGGCCAACACCCTCAGGAGTGAGACACTTCTTTGTGCTTGCTCCCCAGCTAGGCTGAGCTCTTTCTGGATGTACCTTCAAGACAACAGCGACTGTGTGGGGAGAGCAGCGCGCTCTGTGACACGCTTGTGGGTGGCTTCCCGTGCCTGGGCACCAGGAGCCATGTCCCCATGGTGGACCCAGGGCTCATCCAAGAGATGAGTGGCCCCTGGGGTAGCCCATGCTTTGCCCTCGAGGTGGGCGCAAGGGTGACTGGTGGCAGAGGTGGGGTGCTGGGGCAGACAGGGCACCCAGCGGCACCTCTGTGGCAAAGGCACTGGCAGCACTTGCCTCAACCACCCTGGTATTGATTTGTGCAGAAAACAACCACAGAGAGGAGATTTCACATGAAACTATCTGGCTTGATACCAAACCGATCCCTCTTTCCCCTTTCTTTGCCTCCTTTTGATACTGTGAGTCAGGAAAAATAAGGAAGTGAATAGGTTGGCAACTTTTACATCCCTTTTTACCTTGGTTCTGAAGTGCAATAAAAAAGCAAGAAAATTAATCACTGCTGCCTGGGCACAGCCTCATCCAAACACTATGAACAAGCATCCGAGGTTCTCTCCTTTGAGACTCTGGAAATGATTTTTAGTTACACAGTTTTCTCCACTATTAATGGGCATGATTTTGAGACATCTGACAGGCAGAAAGTAGTTAGCATGTGCATTTGCTTTAATACTGGGCATGAGTGTTGTTTGCATGGGGCACATATGCTGTAATGATGTCACCATGCCGAAGTAGGAGCACTGGTGGTTTTGTGACAGTGCCTTTATAGAATTAAGGAGTTTATCCACTGTGTTTTGGTGTCATAAGCAGACAGAGAGCTTGGAGATGCTCCAGCCTGCAAGTGTAATGCTTTTCGAAGTAAGGGACATCATTTATATTGTCCGGTTGCATTAATTTCGTGAAGCCATCCGATAATAACAGTGTCCCTCACGTCCCCATAGATCACCCGTCTCTGACTTGCTGTGCTCCATAGGCAGGCAATGCCAAGGCAATCCTCTTCGGAGGAATCTCTGGGTGCAGGGAAAATACCAGGCACACCTTAACACACCTGGAAGAACTAGGGCATGAGTCCTGGCTGGAAATAGCTCGTCTGCATTTTTTTTTTCCCTTTTCCCATGTAAGGGAGATGAGATATTTTCCATTATCCTTTTTCGTGTGGCTTGATTTCTGCTTCCTAAAAAAAAAAAAAAAAATTAATTTGAAATAAATACTCCTCAGGAAACACCCTCCCAAACCTAGCTACCAACAAACAGCAATAAAACCACAGAGTTAAATTCAAATAATGTGAAGCGACTCATTTGAAACCCACAGAACTTTAGATGGAGTCTGGCCTAAATTGCCCCATTGGTATTAAAGGACTCCTTAAACAGCCTAAGATCCTGGCTGTTGTATTAACCAGGCATGACCCAATGCGTTATGGGCTGGACTTGCAGGCTTTTTTCTCTTTTCCTTTGTGGGTTTTAAATCTCTCCTGCAATGTTACTTGAATGTAGGTTTATAATGGCTTAATTGAGTTGTCAATAGGAAGCCTTTTTTTTATTCGGAGTTAAAAAAAAGGCAAATTGACATGGATAAAATGCATTTGAAGATCTATTCACTATTTTGTTTTTCATTCTTTTATGTCTGTTTTCCACATCCCGAATAAGGGGATATAATATAGCTGCTGCATTGTTGAGTGTATGGCTGGTCTCATGCTTTATGATTTATTATGCTCAAATCAGAAATAGAGTCGAGTAAAAAATCTTTTGATAGTTTGAGACCCAATTACTACTGATCATGAGGGTTTGGCGTACCAAGAAAACGAAAAGCTGATTTTCGGTAATGTGACGACTGCCAAAATATGAAGGAATACCAGATGTTATTTTAAAAAAGTGCCATTGCAGAGTCCTTGGAAATAGAGAGCAAGCGAGTGTAAGTGAATAGGCATATGTGGATTTAACTAATATTCAAGTGAAGCGTAGAACTGAAAAGAAGGAATTTGCAACAGTTTAGCTGTTCAAACCTCCTTCATGTTTCCATAGACGCCTGGTCACGACCCTTATCACATGCAGCAGTTTTGCTATGTTTTCTGAAGAGCACAATTTAAATCACAGGAAAAAAAAATCTTCACATCAAAAAGATAATAAAGTTGAGATATGTGCTTTTCTTTTTTATTTGTTATATATTTAAAAATGCTAAAATTCAGCCTTTGCAGTTTAAGAGACAGACTTTAATCTGAAGGCTTTACAGGGAAGGAATGTTAGGTGAAACAAGTAACAAGGATTTTCCTCCTCTGCTACTTTCTTCCCTTCCGACCTTTGGTTCAGGTCCTGTTTTCGTGTTGTCTTTTCCAGTTCTTTGTCCCATCTCCCGCATGTGTGTCTGTGTCTGTGTGCTTATGTTGCCTCTCTGCATGAGTTTGTTTTTTTTTTTGTTTTTTTTTTTTTTATATTTTGACACACTGCTCCCCCTTAATAGGAATTCTTCCTAGAAATAGCGTGCACATTTCTAAAGGACCCTTTTCACAGTCCTTTTCTTTTGGCTCTAAAATGATGTATATGTAATTGGTAATTAAAGGTGCAAGCTCTCTTAAATATAAACAATATTGCTCAATGTTAGATCATTAAAGGGAACCACAGCGCTAAATAATTACCTTTTGCATCGTGACACTCTCTTTGCAGGCATCCGTTCCCTTCCCAGCAGTCTCTGTTCAGCACAGGGTTATGGTTACATTTTCACTAAGGCGAGGAGACATCTTTTCATGATATAAATTGGTGAATTAATTACGTAGTATTGTCCTCAAACTCTTTTTAAACTTAGATTGGGGGGAAAAAGGTAATTAATGGTTTTCAAAATGAATACTGTGCGGTGTATTTGCTAAGCTTGGTGCGAATTAGGAAACCGAAGCCTTCCCCTGCCCATCATCGGCTCCAGTGGGATAGTCCCTGTTCAGGCACTTCTCTGGGGTCCCTGTCCTTTTCCTGCTGCCACTGACGCTTTGCTGTTCGCGAGCTCTGATGCAACTTGTAATACAGCTGGTAGATACACCGATCAATTATTTATTCCAGAAGGCAAAAGGGGGGATGATTCTTTTGCTAAATTGCCTTTTTCCAGGCTCAACTATTTTTGTTGCCAGGCAATACATTTCACCTTCTACCTCTTTTTCCTTTCCTATCTGGTGGCTTTTATTTTTTTTTCCCCCTCAATTCACCAAACAGCAGGACAGAACTCCTTTTGTTTTCGACCAGGAGGAGAATCCAGACCAGGATTAAAACATCTGTTTATCTCAGCCTTACTTCTTTGAGATATTCGTCTGACTTGTTTTCCCCAGGAAATCCATAAGCAGACCACTCGGGCTAATAGAGAACATTTTTCCTCCTATTCCTTTAATCCTGATTCGATTAGAGGTCTCACTCACTGATTTACATACTGTTATTTCCTTTGTTTTGTTCAGCCCAAATCCTATAGTCCTCGCAGAGGCAAAACAGCCCTAGGCAAAAGTCAGTGGAAATTTTGCCTGAGTAAAGACCAAGGTTTGTATGATTTGGCAGTTACATGGCAGAACAAGAGAAAACAAACCAAAAAATGTTTTGCCCCAGAAATGGATTGTGATCCATAATTATTTTATAATGTAAGAATTATCTTCTCAATACCCATTAAAACACAGTGTGTTTTATTAATTGTCAAATGAGAAATCACATATTTCTTAGAAACTGATGCAGGTCTCTCAGAAATGCTTTCCCAGTCTTTGGGGGCAACTGTATGAAATACATCAGGTCTGTGGGTAGGATTTAAAAAACCCCAGTTTTATTAACCTATATAGCAACTGCAGAGTTATTTGACATCAGGAAAATAGAGTGGAAGATCTCAGGCTCAGCCAATATTCCAGTATGTTAAATAAGTGCCTCAGTCTCTTTCCCACTGTACACACTTTTGAAACCCTTTAGCTTCTCATGAGACCGTATGCTGCTTGCAAAGTCTGCTGTAATTCGTGCTAGTGGGTGGTCATTTAACCTCGCTGGTATCTTTGTAATGGGACAAGGTGGTACTAATTTTGTGTGCCGCAAGGAGCCCGATCCTGCCTGTCTGGAGCACAGAAACCTTCCCCCTCTCTCTGAATTAGGAGGAGAGGTTTGGGTGCATAAGCTGTGCTGGATGGGGCCCTGGCCAGATGGCTGAAAGATGCGGTGGGAATGAGAAGGTGGGATGAAAAGAGAGGAACTATTTCGGAAAGTGACTTGGGGCTTGAACATTTGCAAAATGGCTCTTTGCTGATATCCTTGCAGCACTGGCAGCAGTGGGAAGGAGCTGTCAGGAAAGCTATGCCAGGTCAGCCTTTCCATTTTGTTTCAGGCAGGCTTGGTTGCAAAATATATTGAAATCATTCTGGGAGAGAGGAAAAGCTGAAAAATAAAAGCAAGATCTAATCAGGCTTGGCTTCTTTGGGAGACGGGGGAAGGCTGGGCCTCTCATGATGCATCCTTCAGAGTCTGTGAACATTCAAAACAATTTCTTTCTCTTCTCCTCTCGTCCCTTTCCTCCCTCTTTCTCCTTGTCCATGTAAAGCAGAGGCTGACCATGTGGAACCGGCACTCGCCGACGAGGATGAGAGCCTGGCAATAGCAGAGCCGGGTGGCATCAGCATCGCTGCAAGCGGGACAGACCCCGACTTGTTAACCTGTGGACAGTGTCAGATGAACTTCCCGCTGGGAGACATCTTGGTTTTTATAGAGCACAAGAGAAAACAGTGCAATGGCACTGGTGGTGCCTGCTATGAAAAGAGCATGGATAAGAGCAGCCCTCCCCCCTCCTCACGCGCCGAGCTCAGGAAAGTGTCAGAGCCAGTGGAAATCGGGATCCAAGTCACACCCGATGAAGAAGACCGTCTTCTCACGCCTACAAAAGGAATTTGCCCCAAGCAGGAGAACATTGCAGGTACAGCATGTTTTACACTCAATCAACTGCCTAGGTAATCTTTTAACAAGAGCCCTCTAGAAAGTGCCATGAAACAGAAGCTTCAGTAACAGGTCTTTATAGAAGACATTGGTCCTCACAGCTGTGCAGAGCTCAGCAGGGCTGTCCGCCTGATGTTTAATTCAGTGTAGTTATCTGCGCAGGGCCAACTCTTGGAGGGAGGTACCTCTCAATCCCCCAGCAGAGCCAAGGGGAAGCCTGTATATATAAGAAAAAGCAGAAAGTTGGAGTCAAAAGCCATTTCAGGAGCATCCTTAAGCAAGTTAGCAGTGGCAGAGGGATAGGTGACTCTGGTGAGTACTCAGTTCAGTCCAGTTCAGATACCCTTCATCATATGCAGACCCACTAGTCATTATGTCCTTGCTTATTCCTTCCACCGGGGTATAAGCCAGCTTCTTAGTCTGCAGTGCTGCCTGTGCTGCCCGTCCTGCACCTCTGCAGATGGCTGGAGTTGGGTGGGCAACACCTCCGTTCCCATGCATGCCCCAAAAGGAGCTTTTGAAATGGGGAAAAAAGGCACAGGCTGGCTCAGGTGGGCAGATTTCAGGCATTTCTTCTTCTAAAACTCTCCTATGTGGTGCAGTTAATATTTATTCGGTGGACCTCCCTGGCTCAGAGGCGGGCACACGGGTGGTGGGATCCATCTGGGTGAGCTGCTGTGCAGCGATTCCTGCCAAGCGCCCAGCATGAGGCTGCCGCTGTCGTGCAGGGCGTTTCTCTCCTCTGCTGCGGTGTGTTCCTCTGCAGCAGTGAAAGGAAGGCTCTGCTCCCAGCTAGTGCGTGGGGATTTTATGTTACACAGCAGGATCTCCCCTTAATCGGGCCTTTTCTGTTCAAATCAACCGAACCCCATACAGAAGACCAGTGGCAATTTGTCTTTGCTGCCACTACCCCAATTTCTGTAGGGTTGTCCTATGGGATTAAGTCTGACAGTCCAGGATCCTGCCTCTAGTAGAGATGTTCCCATGAGGGGATCCCCAGAAGACTTTAGAGGCTCCTATCTTTACAATTGCAGCTTAAGAGAGCCCCGCTTTTAGCATTGGAGGTCTCTGAGTCAGTCCCCAGCATCTCTGATGGGCTTGGCCATCATGTAATTGAGGATGTGGGCTTTGAACTGCTGCAGTATTCAGATCTCCAGATGATCAGCCTCATGAGAGAGGGCATATGCCACCCATTGACTACCTTGTTGTTTTCTAGGAATCTTTTTTGGGTGCAGTCAGCATCTTGGCATGGGGCAGCTGGTAGCTTTGGGGGCATTAGCAGTGGCAGCCTGTGCTGTAGCATTGTAAGCAGCCCTACTCTAAGATTTTACCCCATCCTTTCCTCATCCTTTTTCAACTTTCTACATCCTTTTGCGGTTGTGAATGCATTTCTTGGCAGACATGACTACCTCATGGTATTGCAGCTTTGAGGGCTAGTTTTCTTTCCCATTTGGTGGGAGCAGAAGTGAAGAGTTCAAGACCTCCTCCTCCAGTCTGCTGAAGACCTCCTGAATGGTGCTGAGCACTCTCAGTAGCCGTTGATCTCTGTGCGAGCTGATGGTGCTCAGCCTCTTGCAGAGAGTGCCCAGTGCTTAGTAAAGTTAGTGCTGTGGTTGCAGTACAGACGTTTTCTCTTATTAATCTCTGCCCAAGTTCAATCCAAAGTGAAATACCACAGTGGCCATACCCAGAGCAGAGGGTGCTCTACCATCCCAGCTTCTGGGGGTCAGCATCAATATAACAAATGCTTTTGCCCTATGGAAAATCATCTGGGGGCAGTGGGGTGGGTGGAAGGGGATGTTCACGTGTGGAAAAGGCATTAAAAAATATTTAAAAGCCAATCTGGAGTACCTAATCTCAGACTAAACTGAATATCAAATGGAAATATGTAGGCAAGATTTTGAACTGAGAAAAATAAAAGGGTTTATCATTTGACTGGCATTTTCTCAGCAGTGCACGGAGATAGGGACATCCGCTAAACAGTGCAGTAATAATGCTTTCTCAATTAGGAGCCCAGCTCCGAGATAAAAAGGTGCAGTGTCCTTCCACATTTTTTTTAATAGCAGCGGATAGTTTTCAATAGTAGGATAAAAGCCTCACATTACAGCCATGGAGGGTAGCCATGAAAAACCCACAGAAGTCATTCACTGGAAAGGCTTTAGTGGGATATACCAAACCCCTTATTTATATTTCAATAGAAAGGCTTTCTGCATTAGCCAAGAAAATCAGAATCTGCATTTAACATTAAAGGTATTTCCCAGTGAGCGGCTGTAGAGCATTGTTGTTAGATTTGTTAAAAAAAGAGACTAAATACGATTTCATAAAAGGGAAACTTAATCTCTAAGGCAGCTTTCTCCCACCCCACCACCCCCTCCCTTTATTTTTTTATTTTTTTGGTAATAATGCAACAGCCTACAGTATTTTTACTTTATATGTGACGAAAGATATTCTTAGCCTTTCTGTACTGCGACAGGAAGAATGAATTGCTTTATTCCACCAAGAAATATGTAAAATAATCCCTTAGAAGTATGGGGAGATATGTTTGTTCAAAGCATTTAAAATGTTATTTTAATCAAAGGCACAAAACACGCTACATGCTGTGTCAGCTAAAGGAGACCATTACATTTTAACAGCAAATCATGGTCTTTTTCCCCCTCCTAGCCAGCCCCCCCCACTTTGAAACTAACTTTTTTTTATTAAATAAAAAGGCAAAAAAGATTAAAGAATAAAAAAACTTCAGTAGCTCGAATGTATAAAGTAATTTAATATGGTGGAAGCATTAATTATTTTAGCTTAATTGAATTCTGAGGACTGCAGTAGTTGCATTTTTGTAGACAAGCTCTGTTTATTATTTCTTTGTGTAGATTAACAGTAAAGGAAACATAGATAACTTTCAGTTATTTATTGTAAAATAAATGTGTCAATTCATGTGTAAAGCAAGCTGTTCAAAGATAATTGAGTCTTTATATTTGAAGAGGGAAACCAGAAATCACCCACTCGCCACTCTGGCTCCCTGAAATATGCTGCCACCGCTGCTGCCCTCAAATAGGTTTCAGCTCTTCTCCTTGATCTTGTGTTATTTTTGTAGACCTTCTTATTTGGTCATAATGATTTGTGTGCCCTTGTGCTGCGTGACTAAGCCACCAAATCTTACAGCTTCCCCTGGCTGAGCATAGTGAGGGTACATCGAAAGCGCTGAGCTTGGCTTTTCCCTCTGGGCGTGAGGATGTCGGGGTGCAGCACCGACTGTTCACCTCGGCGCAGGGTGCTCCAGGGTCCTGAAGTCTTTCCTCCTTTCTTTTTGCCTTTCTTTCTTATTTGGTAACTCGGCTGGCTCTGGTCACTGAATGCCTCTTGAGCCCATAACAGACCTTGTGCCGCTCAGAGGGAGGCAGGTAGAGTTTGGGAGCCTGCAAGAGTTTGAGTGCACGCAATGCAGATCTCCAGCTAACAGTTCTAGACATCAGAAGAGACAAAAGCAACTTTTTCTCTGCAGTCAGCTTTTAAAGACCGTCTGATAATGAAGTCTATCGTCTTTCCCTGACTGGTAACTTGCAACTCCACGCTTTTCAAGATGCTTTCACTTAGCTACCACTGCCCATAAGGTGTGTGGTAGCACGTTAGCTGGCACTGGGAGGACATGACTTGTTTAGGAGCAGTTCGTCCTATAAAGTTTTATGGTGGCTTTTTTTTTCAAATTGGCTGACCTGTTTGAAAATCAGTTCAGCCTCCCCCTCATACAGAGGATATGATTATATCGAACAGATGTACCAGATTGTTGCACAGCAAAACACGGCCAGGCCATTGAGTTGGCTAGGCGTTATCAGTCACTGCTTCTTTTGCTTCACTGCTGGCAGGTATTTTGGAAAAAAAATAGACCACTGTTTTATTTTATACCTCTTTTTATCTTTCATATTTATCAGATCTTGGGCATAAGGGGGTGAACTGTCCTGGCAGAACAAAGCGCTGGGGAGGTGTCTCTTGCTGTCCTTTAACTGATGCTATCTCCTGTTCTCACGGTCCGCCAGGCTGCTCTGCAGCACGGCTCTCTGAAATGATCCAGATTAAATAAAAAGTACCAGTTGGCTTGTTTTTAATGCTGGATGGTTTCAAAGAACCCTGGCAGCAGAGGGAGCCTTGGTGGGCCAGGCACCACTTGGAACAGACCTCCGGCTTCACTGGGTGGTCTGCACACTCTGGACAGCATACCCTTGTGGACAGAGAACCATACCAGCAGCAGAGGTTAATTAAGAGAGCAGTAGTTAGTTTCTGCAAAGGTGGTGCTTGGAAAGGGGAGGAGGTTGATTGGAATTGACGTTTCATCCCCTCCCGGCCACCAGTGCTGGGCTCCATACATTATGTACTTGAACTAGATGTGCATCATGAAAAAAGGCTCCCTGTCAGATGCAGGATTTAACTGCAACCCCTGCTCCATGAATGTTCATTTCAGCCTTTTGAACGGTAAAACTGCCACTGAGAGAAACTAAATAACTCAAATGTGCTGGAAGCCAGAGATAAACACCGCCGCAGGTTGCCATGAAATAGGCTATTTGATATATTTAGAATTGTTATTTTTCTCCAAATTAAGATTAGTTAAATCCATGTGTGTTGTGTGAGTGATTGTTAACTCAATGGCATGGATTATCCTTTTTTCAAATCATGACAGCTAATTATTATTGCTGTCTACCCTGAGACATTCTCTTACAATGTACCATTATGGACCTGTGCACCCATATTAACTGTAGGACTCAGTCAGCCATCGTGATGCCTTCACATGTGAGGGGAGGAAAATGCAAGCCAAAACAACCTGAGGCCGGTGGTGTTGATGTCTAGTGGGTTGGGAAGAGGTGTCCTGAGGAGTACTGAGCTGGCACGGGGCACAGGGGCCATTCCCTTACGGAGGCCACCATGGCACTGGGTCCTGCTGCCAGCACCTCCCCAGCGTGGTGGGTCTTGCAGGAGAGACTTACTGAAGCCAGG